AAAATTCTAAAAAATTTCTTTTGAACTTTTAGTTTGGTCAAAGGAATAAATGCAGCCATCGAACTTCACATCCAATAGTCAAGATTAGTTATGACCATCTTATACCAAAGGTAAATGGTCTTATTGTATACTTTTCCATGATCAATAAAGCCCCTTAGACAATAGACTAGTTGACTTGCTTTTGTTTTCGATTGTTTTAGGTGCAAACGATGTATTGATTAAGTTTACAACATTTTAATAAGTCATGAAGCATTGCTTGGGAAAAAAGACCAAAATGTAGGGTTTAATTTTTTTTGTAAAAGGTGTACAATTTATGGAAGGAAAAAGTTTATATAGAGCCGAGGCTCTAGACAATCAAATTTGAGGTTACATCAAAAAATTCACTAAAAAAAGTTGTTTTGATGCCCAAATATCCTCAAATTGATCATCTCAACATCAAGATGCATGGACATGAGAAAAAAATGGATTTCAAGTGTTGTAAATAGTGCATCTTGTACTGCATTTTCAGACCATCAATTTTTTAGATTTTCAAGTTTTCATAGATCTGCTCAATCTACACTATTTTTTAACCTTTAAATTTTATAATCAAAAGTGAAAATATACTTTAAAGCTATCACAAATATTTCCAATACCACATTTCTTGATACTATTTGAAGGTGGATTTTACTTTGATTGTTTAGAGCCTCGGCTCTATACAAACTACACCCTTTATGTAAAGTCCTCAACCTTGATCAACTAGAGTAAAATGTACCAAGTCATCTAGGAAAATACAATTCCTATGCCGAAAACCATTACGATGGCTTGAAAACCAATTTCCACTTGAAAATCTTGAAAATGGATGGTCCAAGTAATATGTTACAAGATGTACAATTTTAGAACTTGCATCTTATATAACCTTCTTCATTTTATAGAAGGAAAATTTTTTATATGAAGTGCCAACCTTATGTGGTAGAAGTAAGGTGCACTTTAAAATTTCAACTAAAAAGGTTTTTCCGATATCAAGAAAGCTTTCAATTGGTTATCTCAACCCTGAGATGTGTAGATGTAAAAAAAAAAAAAAGAATTTCACGTCTTAAAAATAATGCATCTTGTAACATATTATCTAGATCATCTATTTTCAAGATTTTCAAATACATATAGATCTGCTTAATTTGCTTATTTTTAAAGCTTTAAATTTTATAATTATGACCTAAATAGATTTTTCGATGATCGTAGGGATTTCTTGTGGCATTCGTCATTGAGGTGGACGATGGAGATGATTCCTACCACCGCTCAAAGTTTACCATCGTTTGCTAATAGAGGAATAAATCATCTCTACGTCTATCCTCGAGGAGGGACGGTTGGATGGGCTTTTCTATTTAGTAAGTTGCATAATTTATTTGTACAATATAATGTTAGTTGGCTAAAACCCTACAGGCACTAACAAGCAAAGTACTTAGAGGTCATTTATTTATGTTCCTGTAGAAGCATACTCTACACTTACTCCCTGACCCATAAGATTATATTTTATTTGCGCTACACAGGGTGAATCCAACTATGTTTACTTTCTCTCGTCTTATAGCCTATTCTAGATAGGTTTTGCTTGAAAGGATAAATTGATAGATGCTCCTTCGGGATCATGAAATATTTCAGCATATTTTTAATGTTACTTTATGTGAGTCAACACCTTAAGGGCTTATTTGGATCCTTGGATTTTTCAATCCTCGGAAAAGTCAATCCTGGAATTGAGTTTTACTGGAATTGATATTTCTTGAAATATGGTGTATGCTGTTTGGATCGCATTTGGTACAAGTGAAGGAAATGCAAATTCATTGTTTGGATTGCCTGGAATATCTTTTTTTTTGGAAATGTAAATCCTTTCTCTCTCTATCTCTCTTCAACATTTTTGAGATAGTTTTTGTCTCTAAATATTTTTCTAAAATTTTAATACTCTCTTTTAAAAACTTAAAATTTGAAATAGTTTACCTCTCTAAAAAATTTATATACTTTCTCTCTCTAAAATTTGATATAGTTTATATCTCTAAAATTTTGAGATACTTTCTCTCTCTAAAACTTAAAATTTGAAAAAGTTTCTCTCTATAATAATTTTACGATAGTTTCTTTCTCTAAACAATTTCAAGTAGTTTCTCTCTCTAAAATAAGATATAGATTCTCTCTCTAAAATTTTAAGATACTTTCTCTATCTAAAACTTAAAATTTAAGATAGCTTCTTTCTAAAATTTTAAGATACTTTCTCTCTCTAAGAAATTTTAGGTACTTTCTCACTCTAAAAATTGATATAGCTACTCTTTCTAAAATTTTAAGATGCGTTCTCTCTAAAACTTAAATTCTAGGATAGTTTCTTTCTTTAAAATTTTCAGGTAGTTTATTGCTCTAAAATTTTAATATATTTTCTCTCTTTAAAACTTAAAATTTGAGATGTTTCTCTATAAAATTTTTCAAATAGTTTCTCTCTAAAAATTTTAGCTACTTTCTCTATCTACAAGTTTTATATAGTTTATCTCTCTAAATTTTTAAGATATTTTCCCTCTCTAAAACTTAAAATTTGAGATAGTTTTTCTCTCTAAAATTGTAATATACTTTCTCTCTCTAAAACTTCAAATTTGAGATAGTTACTCTATTTAAATTTTTTTAAATAGTTTCTCTCTAAATATTTCAGGTATTTTCTCTATCTAAAATTTGATATAGTTTCTCCCTCTAAAGTTTTAAGATATTTTCTCTCTCTAAAACTTAAAATTTGAGATAGTTTAATTTTTTTGTTTTTTGTAGTTTCTCTATCTAAAATTTGATATAGTTTCCAATCTCTAAAATTTTAATATGCTCTCTCTCTCTCTCTCTCAAATTTAAAATTTGAGATAATTTCTCTCTCTAAATGTTTTGAGACATTTCTCTCTAAAAAAATTTGAAGTATTTATTCTCTCTCTAAAATTTTAAGATACTTTCTCTCTCTAAAATTTAATATTTGAGATAATTTTTCTCTCTAACTCTTAATTTGAGATAATTTTTCTCTTTAAAAATTTGAGATAGTTTATCTTTCTAAAAAAATTGTATATTTTCTCTCTAAAAAAATATATTTTCTATCTCTAAAATTTGATGTAGTTTCCCTCTCTAAAATTTTATATGTTTTCTCTCTTTAATATTTGATATAGTTTCTCTCTTTAAAATTATAATATGTTTTTGTTCTTCAGCCTTAAAATGGATCATTTCCATGGAATGTCAATTCCATCTACGTATTTTGGTGGAATTAAGATTTCCAAACTTTAGACTTAAAATGAGCATTCAGGAATCCCACAGAAATCTCAATTCCAATGAAAATATCAATTCTAAATGAACTAAACACGATTGACCTTGCATTTTCAAGAAAAGTAACTCCTATAAATCTGAATCCAATTAGCCAAACCGGGCCTAAGGGCAATAGTCGTACTCAAAATACTTATTTTGGTGAATATCGGTATTTGTTGCCTTCACGTAGGCTATTGGTTTTTTTTGGTTAAAAAAATAATAGCTTTTGGATTTTTTCTCTGGCCTTATTGGAAACTCCCCTTTATATACTAATAGCGATTACAAATTGGGTCACCTTATATATCTCCGCCTCCTGTTTTATAAAGGGATTATATACAATGAAATCATTTACCTTTGACACAAGATATCACAACTACATATAGCAATCCGATTTGAAAGCTAATAGCTTGGGTATGTCACAAAGTTTGGAAAATTCTTTTTTAAAGCTTGAGCTTGATCAATGAAATAAATGTAGCCATCCAATTTCACATTCAAAGGGTCAAGATTAATTGTGACATCCTGGTACAAAAATTAAATGGTCTCATTATATACTTTTTCTTAAAAATTTTCATAAGAGTCAATATAGTTAGTACTGAACTGTCATGGTAACATCATTAATTAACTTAATATTATTTCTAAAACTAATTCTTTCGAAATTCAGGACTACTGATGAGTGAGGACATAAATTGTTAATATCAAAATAAATGAGGCATTCATTTTTCTTAAAAAGGAAAATGGAGCAAAGAAAAATCGAGATACCTATTTATAGAACAAAGGGATAAAAATCAAACAGATCCCCTAAGACAATTTTGCAAATTGTTTTCCCCAAAAAATTACTATTTTTTTGGGAATACCTAAATGCAATCTGTTTTGGGCGTGGATCTATATAATTGGATCCTTAGTATGTAAAGGGATAAATGAAAATCCTTCGAACAATACTGAACAAAATTGGCTCAAAATCCAAGTAAAAATCTACAATTTGGCGGATTTTCATTAATCCTGATATTACTTGAAACTCTAAATTTGAGAAAAAAAGCTTCAACATAATAAACAGAAGTAAAAAATTAAAATGCCAGTGAAGAACCCCCGTTTTTTTGCAAAAATACAGAGAAAAATTTATGTTTTGTGGATTTCATAAACATGTGGAAGAAAACCCAAAACTTTTCAAGCTAGATCCACGAAAAAATAGGCAATGATCAGTCGAATTGAGCCAATAATCTTGTAGAAAGCTTGATCACTATCATTTAGAGCCAAATTTGATAAAGTTTGGTTGAAAAAATTAATGAGAACAACGTAGTTTAGCTGATTTATGAAAAAGTAGCTAGAAATAAATAAAAAACCAAAATTTCAGCCAAAAAGGTAATTTTTGGTGAAAAATTCAAGGGATAATCTCGATGGTTTTGGCATCCAATCTAGGCATCTTATAGCCCCCATATCAATAATTCCATTGATTAATTGCTCTTCAAAACTAGCAAAAGAAAAACCTCCTAAAAAAAAAAAATGGACCGGACCGGACAATTCCAACCGGTCATCATACAATGGATGGTTTGATTTCTAACAATAACCAACAATTGAGGAAGAGATTTGACTGTATTTTCAAGGATGGATCTGGCCTAATATAGGACGATTCCCAGGTAGAATGAGAGATTCACCCAATTTGAGTCGATTCTTAGTTTGCATCGTGCGATTTTAAGTCAGATTTTTTTCAAACACAGATCTTAACATTTAGAAAAGCAAAAACCAATAAAATTAAAAAAAGATTGCTAGAAGTTTGGGTCAGCAGCTTCTTTGACATCTCTAATTACATAAAATTAATTAAAGGCGGATTGGCGCTCTAAATGGTTAGGGCACGAATTCTTGTTTCAACAATATGGACAACTAAAACAAAATGAAAACCGCATCTCTAAGATCTACCAGCTTTTTCCAAATCGAATTGCTTGCATAAGTCCACTCCAAGATCCACATTATGAACTTGTTCATTCTCAATTTGAGCAAAGCTCCTCTTCTTACCACCTTTATTCCCTTTTGCTTTCTTACAATAATCCCAAGAAAAGAGAGTGGGTTTGTAGGAAAAATAATCACCACCACACAATCCCTCCTCACAAGATAAGAAAGCATTCAACCTCCCACTCTCAATCCCATAACTCACAATCTCATCACCAAGAACCATCAAAATATCCATCCCAACCAGAACCTTTGGACATGGATGAAGATCCTCTCTCTTTTCGAGCCCCAACTCCCCCAAATTTGCAGTAAACACCTTCTCCCATTTCTTGTCTTCTCTTAAAACCCACAACCTCAGCTCCAAATCATGGCGCACATATGCAAGGGAAGCACAACCCTCCCATTCCAACACTGCAACTTCCTGGAACTTTCTTCGGAACTCTGGTGGTGCTGGTATGGTCTCTATTTCATCTCTCACCATGTCAAAACCAATCAGCCTTGAGGTCTCATAGGTGTAACAGCTATGCCCAATGGATATGAGGTTTTGGCAGCCGACCGCTACATTCATGAAAGGCTCTATGCTCTCGAAGGATGTCCATTTTCTGATCGATGAGTCGAACATATAGTTACCTTCATTAATATCATCGGTGAACATAGAGCCAACACCTTGAATTTGCAATTTTGGGGGTTGAAATAGAACCCAAAATTGGATATAGACAACAATGAATCGTTGTGAATAAGTGGAAGATGGGTGGATTCTCCGGTAGCAGTGTTCACAATGGAGAACGTACTCCCCATTGTTAATATACAAAGGATGCCATTGCTGGATGCCACTCTTCTTGGCTTCCATGAAGAGAAATTGGGTAGTTCATGGAGTTGCAAGATGTGTACATGGTGTTCGAGGGAGATGGTGTAAATAGGATGCTTTTTGAGATAGTATGGGAATGGGTGGAAGATTGCAAATGGTTGGGAGGGAGAATGAGGAAAGAGAGAGTGGCAGTGTAGAAAGCAAGGGGATGACAAGAGTTCACACCATGGTTTCGAGACCCTCTTGAAATTAAGGACAGAAGGTGCCGGCAACTTCACAAGGATTTCTTCTACTAGCTCATCAGGCAAATCGCCCGATAGAGAATCCATCTTTCCACAGAAAAAAAAAAATGTACCTGAAATATACCTGGTGAGAGAGAGAGAGAATTGTTGTAGTGGTACAAGGTCTGCTACTTGGAGGGAATAGAGAAGCAAAATACTCCAGGGATTAATATGAGTTTGGGATCTCCTTTCCCAAAGCCCCATGTCATACTCTTTGTTGTTCTTTCTTTATCTCCTAAATTAGGGGAATCCATATCCATAACCATATCATATATTGCTTGCTTAAGTATAATTATCTTCTCTTTTCACCAATTTCCAAAAGTTATTAATTTGCATAATTTTAAACAAATTTTACGAAAATCCAAGTAAATTATATTGTCTTAAGCAATTAAAATTACAGTAGTATTTTATCCATAGATTTCTTTTTTAAATTAAATAAAAAAAAATTAGAGATCTGGTTTGGTTTTTTCTATTTTCTTTGTACTTTCAAATTCCAAAGATTTTATCAAAGATGGCTTGTTCGTATGTTTCATGATTCTTAATTTTATTTATTGTTGTGGCTATATTTTTATTTGGAAAACACAAATATTTCAGGAGAGGAAACCAATTTTTCAATTTTCTATTACTGAATTTTCTTACCTGCAAAATGCTTTTGAAACTAACTTTTATTTTTATTACCGTTTTCAAATGTCTGAATTGAATTATTTCAAGAATTCATTAACTACTTGTGAATTTTTATGCTTCAAAGTATAGTTTCTGAATTCTTTTTTTTTTTTGAATTCTTCTACTATTAAATGCTGAATTTTTTAGAATTTCTATTCCATTTTCCCTTGCTAGTATTAGTAAATATTCTTTGTGATCATGAACTTAAAAAAATACATATTTGGTGTTAAGCATATTTTCTGTTTTAAACTTTGAATTAATGCGTTTCAATAGCTCGCTAACTGATTTTTTTAATGCCTTTAAAAACGTATTCATTCCACAAATTTTTGTACCTTTAAATATTATATGACAGAAGTCCAAATTCCTTGAGAAATCTTAAGTGCTTTGTCAAAAATTTATGCTGAATTTTGTAAATAATATGTAATATGAACCTATATTTTACTGCTTTTGCAGTTGCTTAAATAACTTTATATTTGTGTTAATTACAATTATTTTTATTTGAAAAATACTTTTATTGTGAGTTTGGAAGGTTTAAATTTGTGTTTACTACAAAATATACTGCTGGCTTTAAAACCTTTTAGGTCTTTAAATTCTGATTTTTATATATGAATCAAACTCATGTTTTGTTTATTTTCCAGAACAGAACTATGATATAATTCTTTAAACTCCATTATCGACTATTTCTCAATTTTTAGATCTAAAAATAAAAGAATAAAAACTGAACATGGCCTAAGAAGAGACAAGGATGAAGAATAGGGTTTTTGCAGTGAAATAGTAGTTTTTTTGCAGTGAACATGAAGAGCACAAAATATTAACAAAAATACGTTAAAAGAGGCATAAAATATTAACAAAAATAAGTTAAAAGAGGCATACCTTGAACAAAGAGGGAGATCTGAATTCGAGGAGGGAGATCTGATGAAATATGCACTTTCTGTTCTGGGGGGAGAGAATATTTGAGCGAGAGAGAAGAAAAATCAGAAACAATAAAGAGAAAGTTGAAATAAATATATGAAAAACTTTGAGAAAGACTCTGTTACATATTTCTCGATCTTTGTTATTACAGAATTTTATCACTTCCTCTTTCTCACTCTAGAGATTAATGTCAAGGACTAACATTATTAGCCAGAGTCAAGGAATAGAGAAGTTGGGGCATATCTCAGAGCTCAACGTTAAGGCTCGGGAAGACGGGGTCAAGTATCGAGCGCATGCCAGGCTATCGACCCCTGAGCAAATATGCCAAAAAGATGTTTCGATTCAGTTGTGTTAAGCACATATAACTAGATGAGAGTTCTGAATTACATTCTAGGGTTAAGGGGTGGGTGCCAGAATAATAGAAAGATAAGAAGAGATATCTATACTACATTATTAAGTCAGAGAAGTGGGTGTCAGAAAAATAGAAAAATAAAAAGGGATATCTATACGACATTATTAAACCAGAGTTAAGGAATGAGTGCCAGAAGAATAAGAAGGGATATCTATACTCTATTATTAAGCCAGAGTTAAGGAGTGGGTGGCAGAAAAATAAAAAGGGACCATGAAAATAATGTGGAGAGAAAATATTAAGGAGATATCAACACCCAAATAGAAATATTAAGGAGATATCTCTTAAAATTTACAATGTATAAAAGTTATAATAATTAATTTTTTATTACTATTACATAATTATAAGATTATAAGTTACATGAGTACAACATATTCATAATTAGAATTATAATTATTTCACTAATTGTAATAATATCCATTTCTATATATAAATTTTTTAACGGTATTTATGTCGGTTATGATTTCAAAAATTATAATAATCAAGAATAGTGAATATTAGTGAGAATAAATAAATAATTACAATAATCTACATCAATATTAACATATTCATATTTTCAAAATAAAATAATTTTAGACAAATTTACATAACTACCATTACAATATGGAAAGAGTTTAGATAAGGGTGTAACCTTATACTATAGAAGGAAGGTGCACATAAAAAAATCTAGTAGAAAGGAGTATCCAAAAGTTAGAAAACCATGGATTGGTCTTCTCGACCTTGAGTGTATGGATATGTAGGCAAAAAGAAAATTTCAAGTCCTAAAAATAGTGAATTTTGTAATAAATTAACTGGACAATTTATTTTAAAGATTGTCAATTGTTTAGAGATTTGCTCGATTTGTATTTTTTAAAATTTTAAATTTCATAATTTAGATTAAACATAGATTTTTAAGGCATCATAAGATTTTGGACACAGGGGTTACATCTTTTGGCATAGTTTAGAGGTGCACATCTTTTGGCATAGTTTAGAGGTGCACCTTACTTGTATTGTATAAGGTGGGCACCTTATACAAACCTCACCCTTACAACATGAAAATAGATTCCTAATAATGAATGAGCTAAAATAAATCAAATATTATAATATATGATAAAAGTTACTATTGGAAAAAATCCTAACAGGCATATTTACTTTTCGTACAAGGAGGTTATATTCAGTTTTGCCCATTATATTTTAATTCAGGTGATTCTAAGTGTGCCATGGATTAGCTCAACATTCAAAAAGAAAAATATTATTGAATTTTATGACACACCCTACGCCAACCAATTTAACATCTAATGGCTAAGAGTGATTATGATTTCTTTGTAAATATAATAAATAGCATTATTATATACATTCCTTATTAATCTATTACATATAAAGTGAGAGAAGCACTCCCCATGAGGATCTATTAGATAAAGTGAGAGAAGCAGCCTGGAAGGGATCTATTAGATATAAAACAAGAGAAGCACCCTCCCTTATTGTTATGTAATGTATTCTTTTTTGAAACAAAATTCTGAATAGAAATCGACAATAAATTTTTTTACAAAAATTAGAAGAAATCATTCTATTTTTCTTTTATGATATTTTTAAATTCTCATACAAAACAAATAAACGGCAGAATGACAAGATTGATACACCAACGCAAACCCTAACCATCGGAACGGAAAACAAACAAACATGATGCACAAACTCATTAACATCACAAAAACTATTAACACGAATGGATATTAAACAAATTCAATAAAAATCATAACATTAGCTTCTTACTGTATTGGAAACTCGGCAGTCAGAACATAAAAGCTCAAAGGAAAAAGATTGTGATAGCTCAGAAGAAGGGAGAAGAATGAGGAAAACGGATTTTACAGTAAATTGGTCAATTCAGGTACCCACATGAAGCAAAAGCATAAAATATGAAGGCAAATAGGTAGAAGAAGAAGCACAAAACATAACAGAAATAAGGTAGAAGAGGCATGCCTTGAATAAAGAAGGAGAACCAAAGCCTTGAGAGAGGAAATTTGCACTTTCTTTTCTTCGGTAGATAATATTCTAGAACGGTTTTTTTTTTTTATATGGGCGAGAACATAAAACTTACATGTTTCCCCTTAGCCAACCGTCTCTTTTGAATGGAGTTTACAATGTCACATCTCTACACTATTTTATTTTAATTTTTTTATATAAAATATTTTGACGCCAAATTTTGAACGTCCAATGCTCTATTAAACTCACACTTGTAAAAAATATAAAACAATTATTACCAATAAAATAAAATAACCAAAATACCCTAGAAAATTTCAAGAGGTATTTTGATCATTATATTTTATCGAAAAATTATTGTAAATATTGTTTATAGGTGCGCCCCAATAAGAAGATAGCACGTACCAAATTTCATATCCATAAATATTAAAAAAATAAAAAATAAAATACTTTGAGGTGTCGGATCTAAGATCAAACGGTGAGTAACTCATTTGATCAAAATTGAATGACTAAATGGTAGGGGAAGCATAGATCTTCTATGCAGTAGGGAAAGTATAGAAAACTTTCTTTTTTTATATATAATCTCTCGAGCGTAGTTGGTTATAATTGATTTAAAGGGGCTTTCCTGGTTCGAATGGGATTGGGTCCAAAATCTTATCTCTATCTATTTTGCAATCTTTTTGTTGAGCGTAAAGTCTATGTTTTCCTGATGATATCCTTTGGTTTCAAGAGACCATGTGGATGTGAGAGTATTTTCACAATAATTAGTTCCAATATTTTTTTTTTCATACTAGTTGGCACCTAATTAGTGTAAAAATATTCATGTACTTAACCACATGAGAAAAAACTTTTGCTAGAAAATATTTTCACGCAAACTAAACGTGACGATGAGGGTTCTCTCTCAGCATACAGCTGCTCCATAGTCCACAAATATGGATTGTTGGATCTAGTGATATCCAAAATTATCAAATCCCATATCATGTGGAATTGGGATTGATATTGATAAGGTTCTTAAAAAATAAAAATTCAAAAAAATTAAAATGATATTTTATTCAAAATATTTTTATAATAAACATATTTTGGGTTGTTAGCATTAAATATCATGTGAAATACACATGCGGATTACTAGTTTTGTTTATAGAGTATAGTGTTAGTCGGCTATTACGTTAGGGGACTAAAACCTGACAAGCCTTCGGTTTCGGTTGTGATTGAACATGCAAAATATTTGAGGTACTCTACACTTAGTCCCTCGGGCATAAGACCAACTTAGGAAGATTTTTTTCATCCGAAATTTTTGGAACCACCTGAAATCATATGCTAATTATGTTCAAGAGAAAAATTTTGAATTTTGAGTATTTTTACAATATGATCTCACTTTCAAAATTTTATAATTAAAGATGAAGTTAAATTTTAAGGCTATCACAAAGATTTCCAATATTAAAACCACATTTCTCAGTACTATTCGAAGGTGCTTTACTTTGATTCTATAGAGCTTTGGCTCTATACAAATCGCACCCTTATATAATATCTCAATATAGATTAATATAATATAGTATTAGTATATATATATATATTACTAATTATGTAGTATAGAATATTATAAAATAAGTCTCTATATAGTTTTTTATTTATAGATCCAGACCAGAGCGGACCCGACCCGTCCCATTCCCACCCTATCCATGCATAAAATTTGCTATAAAAAAGCAATAGCTGACTTTAAAGGAGCTGTAGACCATCTTCTATTCAATGATGAACGGTAGGTGGAGGGGCGTGTATTGCTTCTGTATGTTAAAGTATCCCACTGTTTGTACAAAATCCTTATTTAAAAGAGGGAAACACCCAACTTTGTTAGGTTGTGTTGTACCAAAATCCTAAAAGGATGTGGTTTGTATAGAGCCGAGGCTCTAAACAATCAAAGTAGAGCGCACCTTCAAATAGTATCAAGAAATGTGGTTTCAATATTAGATATCTTTATGATAGCCTTAAAATATATTTTTATCTCTAATAATAAAATTTAAAACTTTAAAAATAGTGTAGATCGAGCACATCTATCTTAAATTTGAAAATTGACGGTCCAAAAATGCATTACCAGATGCACTATTTCCAAAACTCGAAATCCATTTTTTTCTCATGTCCATACATTTTGATGTCAAGATGATCAATTTGAGGATATTGGAGCTTCAAAACAACCTCTCCTAGTGAAATATTTGAGGTGCACTCTAATTTGATTGTTTAGAGCCTCGGCTCTATATAAACTTTTTCCATCCTAAAACTCAATAAATTGAAAAGCGAGCATAAAAATTACTGGGGAATATGGTGTATAAGATTGATGAGTTTACCTAGGATCTCAACAAGGTCGCCTATAAAATGGTATAAATATGGGGATTCACACTACTCTCTATGGTGACCATGGGACCATGTAAACGAATGTACGGCATCTTTAGTTTATTGAAGGAAAAAGATTTGGTGGTCTCGTGTGACCAAATCTTTTATTTGGCCCCCTAAGACATCGTATTAGAAAGGGATCTTTGTTTGGAACCAAAATTCTCAAAGCATCTCTATAAATGGCTAAATCAACTTCAATGTATAATGTTGTAACTTTGAACAATCAAGGAACACATCCAAATTTGTTGTAACATTTGGTGTAAGAAAATCTTATGGTAGCATGATAATCTATTTTTATCACTAATTATAAAATTTGAGACTCTGAAAATAGTTCAAATCAGGTTGATGTATAAACACATGATAATCTTGAAAGTAGATAGTCCAAAAAATATGTTGCAAGATGCACTATTTTTTGGTCTTGAAATCTTGTTTTTTTTCATACCAATATATATTTTGATGTTGGGATGATTAATTAAAGGGTTTTCCAACATCAAAACAATTTTTTTTATGGATTTTTGCAATGCACCCTAATTATACAATGTAAGGCTGTAACTTTATATAAATGTTTTTTCCTCAAAAAATGATATAGAGCTCGAAAGATGAAGCGATTCAATTTTGACTATATACTGATTTTGGGTGTCCATTCCACAAACAATGAGGACGTGTTTGATTTCTGGAAAATAAAGTTTTGAAAACCGCATCTTCCAATATTATAGTGTTTTCATGTTTGATA